GCCCTGTTGTCTGAGCTGGGCGTCTCTATTCCTGCGGCTTCTTATAGAAAGTTCCTTTGCAGGGTTGATGCTCTACGAGGGTGAGTACATGGAAGACTTGAAGCATGGACATGGTGCCTTGGATGCAGCTTCAGAGTTTACCGGCTGAGCACAGGTACTGTATGAGGTCTCTCTGTTGACGTACCTTTGTTCCTGTCAGAGAAGTAGCCAAGGCAAGTATGTTTGGCCGGATGGACGCATGTACGAAGGTGGCTGGAAGGACAAGCTGTGTACAGCTGGTGCGCAGCGATGGGTGGCTGTTCCAAGCTCTGGTCGTGGAATGTCAACTATTGAGCTAGTGGGCCATCTCGCATATGACAGACTCGGTGCCCATTGGACCTTTCGCAAGTTTCACATGTATATTCCGAACGCGTACAGCAAAAATTGATTCATTATATGAACCCGACAGCAAGACTTTGTCAGGAGGGGGTGCGCTGCGGGTCCAGGGCTTAGGTCTCTGCTTCTGTGGCTTCTTTGCAGTAACACACTAGTAACACAGTTTAGGCGTTGAGGTTCAGACTTTCAGGGTCTGCAGCGTATGCTGTGCATGAAGGCTGTGATCGTGAGACCTAAAGCAAGTGGATGGGGAAGATTTGGATAGTGGCGCCGCAGGGCGGAAAGGGGGTAGAGCCTGTTACCTTCGAAACTTGAGGGTCCACATAACCCTATATGACCCTAAATAATATAGTAGTTTCCATTTTCTTTTCCATTATCTTTTGATATAATTCCAATAACTACCCTAGAATCCCAATATAACCCAAATATATAACCTATAATCCCCATATAGCCCCTATATATACCCTATAAAAACCCCCTAGAGCTGATGAGGGTCGGTCCGCTTAAGGCAGGCAACCTACACCAATGCCCAGGGTCAGAGCCGGACAGGCATCTGGAAAGATGACAAGGCCCAACTCCTGCAACTCTATAAATTTATATAGTAATGTAGGGGGAATATAGGGATTAAAAGTAATATAAAGGGGGAATATAGGGATTATACAGTAATGTATAGGGGGGAATACAAGGATTATATGGGGATAATGGAAAAGACAATGGAAACTACTGTTTACGGTTTAGGGCTACCAAAAGCGATGGGCATGGGTTTAGGGTTACTATATCATCCCCCTATAATGGAGAATCAAATGGAAAAGAAATGGAAAATGAAATGGCAACTGGGAGAATATAGGGATCTCATGGGGTTTGACATCATTACCGCTCTCAGTGTCGTCGTTGTACTTTGTACTGTCTTGCTCATCGTATGCACAACGATAACTACACAGCTGTTGCTTTTGCTGTGACAGGCGTGAAATGGATGGGAGGACTAGGCTTCTAGAAATTGACGTGGAGACGCATGCCGCATGGCGTTAATCCCGCTTGCGCAGAGGAAAACCAAGCTGTTGCGAGCGCATGCGCATCTGCATAAAGTATCATGAGGCCAGCAATCGCTTTCGAACTTTTGAACTGTAATTCTCCTGCGCCCTGATGCATCCAGTTCGCAACTGCTCAAAATTAACAACCAGTAAACACGGGGTGAAAGTGATGTCAACCCGCTCAGTGCAAGTCCTTTCTTGGTCACGGTGCAAGACCACGAAGGTCCATTTCAATGTGGGTTGCGCCCTCCATTCCCTACTTGTCAAAGAATTGAACAGGTCAGGTCTGCAAAGCGTCCTTCGTAGCGGAGCTAGGTGCTGCTGCACATGCTTCCTTTGCACAGTGTCCTGCACAGGTTGAGCGATGGCTGGATGACGCAGCAGCTGCACACTAGGCGGTGTAGCATGCGTTTGTTGGGGTTGATGGGCTGGCTGAAAGAGCAGTGAATCCTCATGGAGGGGTTTGAGCTAAACTAATTTCATGACAACTCACAGACTGTACCAGTAATACATTGCCCCCCCCAAAGTTGCCATTTTAATTTCCATTATCCCTACAAAATCCCCATGTTCCTATAGTAGTTTCCATTTTCTTTTCAATTATCCCCACATAACCCCAATATATTCCCTATAATCCCTATATACACCCTATATAATCCCCATAATCCCTACAGTTTCCATTTTCTTTTCCATGATCCCTCCATTGGCCCTTCATCCCACAGGCTGCCCACGGCCAGGAAGCGGACAAGCTGTTGTCCGACCTGGAAGCTGGAGGGATCTTGAGACTGGATTTAAGGGGAGGTCTATTTACACACAAACTATTATAGGATATAGGGATTATATAGGATATTCTAGGGATGATGGAAAATAACATGGAAGCTACTATAAAGCACAGGCTATGAAAAACTGAGAGGGTTTCCATCTCCTGCCGCAACATACTTATTCCGATAACATCAGCCACGCCTTGAAGTCTGAACAGTTGAGTGTGTATGAAGACCATCATGGCTCCACAAGTGCCTCAACTATGGGATCTACAATCTGGGACCCTTAAACCAAGACCTATCATTTCAACGGCCCGCTCTTGCAAACGGGCATGCATTTGGATGTGATCTTAGATTTCCAGCCTATCTGAGGGTGTTTCTCAAAAATTGGGCACCCTAGTGACTATATGGGGTTGCAGGTATGATTTTGAGAAACTCCCATCTGTGGCATGGCATGTCCCCAGGGCTTAAGAAGCCTGGAAATTAGTCGCAACGCAGAGGGGCATTTGTCAACAATTGGGTATCCGCGCACGCCCCGAAAGACAGGAGCCACGTTAGAAGGGTCTCCCAAGAACGCGCCCAAGCTTTTTCTGAAATCCCCGCATGCCTGCCAGTTCGAAGGTTTCACCCCTGCCATAGAATCTAATTACAATGCAGGATGTCCAAATCGTAAGGCGTTGCCTTACTTACAAATTAAATCCGGGCAGGACAGCACAATTCACCACACTTGAGGCAGCAATCCGCCCTCAACTGTGGCTGCTTAGCAGGAAGGGTAACGTAGCCTCTTCTGGCCACCGCACAAAGCTGCAAATGTATGTCTGCCCTACGTAGGCTGTTTGGGTCTTCAGCAGCACCTAGCAGCGGTAATCTAATCATGACGTGGCGAGACAAATTTTTCGGGCAGTCCGACAGCATCTTGAAACCCAGACTCAGCATATCCGACCTCTGAAGGTTGTAGTTTCATCCTTTGCTGCGACACTTGTGGCAGACGCGGAAAGAGTGCCTTAGAGATTTCAGGGTCAGCGAGAACTGGTTCGATGTGCCGCACCGCACTGGGTCACGGCAGGGAAACTAGAAGACTTGCTGCAGCTACCTTTGACGGCTTCGTCGGGGCGGTTTTGTGAGTCGTCTGCCATGACGTCTGTGCTCGGCAAGGCCTACGCATGAACACTGTGATGCGGTGCAATACCATGTGATAGGCTTGATGACCTAAAGAGTAACCTGAGTAACCTGGTAGTTTGCTGGGCCGGAGCAGACGGAAAGCTGGCAGTGACAGGTCCTGGGAATGGCATTCCTGGCGACGCAGGCGGTTCGGTCATGGCGTTGAAGCTGTCTGCCAAGGTAAAGGCCTGGGGATGGGTAGCGTGGACCATCCTCCATGGGAGCGGTAAGGAAACCCTGTGAATAATGGTAGAATGGGATAGTACTTAGTAGTGGAATAAACCAATTATCTGGTCCATCTACTGTATGAAATCCGGGTACTGGGATAATGGGATAGTACTGGGATAAGCCATCCAGCAACTGGTGCTGGATTTTTTTAAAAGATCCACAGTATGATTGTCATATGACTGGGGGAATGAAGATACATTTAACATCTCTCTTAGGGTACCATCCGGGTGCCAGGGTCACTGGACTCACAGCCAGCTTTGGGAAAGCTTGCGGGAAGGAAGGCATGGTCCAATCCCACCACGGCCGCATCTTCACTTCAAGGGACCCTTTGTTTTGTTTATCCTTTCCAAGTGTCGGCGATGGCCATGGAGCTGCATGGAAGCATAGTGTCTCCACTAGTCACTGGACGAGTTCCAGTGACAGGCTATCACAAGCTTGTGCACGATGCAGAAGATTCTGAGGAGCCGGGACAAGCTGAAGAGTCTGCTGCCGAGGCTGGCTCGGTGGTGCTTGAGAATGACCTCAAAGCCGCAATAGAAGTGAAATTCTCTGGAGAGGTAGCTGTGATTTACCCCAATGACCACAGGTTTTTTGACACCACTTCAGAGATGGTGATGCAGGTTAGCTTGCGGGATGATCCAAGCATTTCAGGCACCTGTCAGGTCTCCATTGCTTCCAGCAGCTTGCGCGCGTCAGAGTCTTTCGGGTCCTTTGGCATCGAGGTCGCTGAATTCCTGCAGAAGGAGCAGCTGGAGGTGGATCGAGAGCGTGAATTGAAGCAGGAGCGAATGGAGTATATGCGTGATGAAATCGACAAAGAGAGACAAACATTTGGCCAACTGGTGGGTGGTTTCGTTTTGCCAATGGAAGCTTTCTCGGGCTGCTTTTCTCGGGGCTGCTTGTGCTTTGTGTCTTTATGGAGCCTCAGGATTGGGCCTCTGCATTGATGTTGAGCTTGGGGGTGACGTTGCTGTTTTTTTGCATGTGTGCTTTTTGCGGAGTAATCCCACTAGGTGTCCAACACTTCGATCTGGCTTTGCCACCGGCCATGCGAGATTCTTGGTAGAGTTTGGTCCCTTGGTGTGGATGTGCCTTGGTGGCCTTTGCCTGGCTGCAGCAGCTGCTCGTTACATCCGTGCAGGATTCTGGTGGAGTGCGCTCATGCCTGGGCTAATGTGCTGCTGCTCTTTGTGTACCACTTGTCTGGGCATGAATCCTGATTTGAAGAAAGCTTCCTCGGATCCCTTCAGAGTCGTGTATCAGCGCGACGCGGCCGACCGGACCATCGTTTTCCATGGCTCTGTGCGTTCAGGAGGCGGCCCTTGTGTTGCTTCATGGCCTGGGAAGTACGAGTCCGCTTGGGATTCTTTGGTGAAAGGAAGTCGCAAGGGCGACGTCAGCGCTGCAGTGGTCTTCTTGCCGAAGGGTTCAAGCGACTTCGGCCACCATGACCCCATCCCAGTGGCTGAAGGCCTTGAGGGCAGTTGCTGGTGTGTTCCCCTCTACGGAGAAGAGAAACCATGGGGGTGCCGGTGGTGGACCAAATGGATGGAAAACATTGAGAAAGCTGTTCATGATGAACGTGCCGAACTGGAAGTCTACTATTTTGGTGGGCAAAGGGAAAGTGAAGAATTTCCTGACTGCTGGCAAGGAGCACCTGAGACGTGAAGCTATCTCAGCTCAAAAGAAGGACTTCATGCAGTCGCAAGGTTTTCTTGCAGTCGAAGAGGATCTTGAGCATCTTCAAAAAGACCCCAGAGGAGACTCCACCTCCCAATATTCGCGAGAGGTGCAACGGCTCTTCTTGGCCTCACTTTCAGAGGAAGATCGCAGCTTCATGGAAGCATCAGAAGGTCTTGGGAATTCACAGAAAGCCGAAGTGGCATGGCTCGAAAAAAAGGGTTATGCTTACACCGAAGTAGATGTATCCTCTTGGCTTTATGACTGAGTTCGCCATTCTTTGCACCCTTTATTTGATGTCAAAGACATCTTACCAGGTCAAAACGACCCAATCCGAAATGGATTCGAAAGAAGAAGTGAACAATTCGCTCTCCTGCCAGGTAGAAGAGCTGAAATGTTGCCTATACCCATGAGCACACATGTATCTATATATTTCAGGTTGGATTAAGCAACCAAGAAGCGAGTTGAATGGGTAGCCTTGATCCCAATGTCACCCAATGTTTGCCCCGCATCCTCGTGAGGCGGAAGAGCCCTGGCAAAGTCATCTGAGAGCCTAGACATGGGCCATGGCAAGTTGGGAAATCCGCTTTTCGCAATGGGTATTGAAATGGAGGTTTCCTAAAATGGTGGCACCCCCAAGTCATCAATTTTAGTAAAACTTCCCATTCTAAACCATCCAATTCGGGGTACCCCCCATTTGAGGAAACCACCAGATGGGAATAGCACCTGGCTACATGGGATTGTCCAGCCATGTTTGAGTACAGAGGGTATCAGAGGGCACACAGGGGCTGACATCCAGCAAGTCCCACAGAACGGGATGATGGATGTGTTGCGCGTATTGCCTGGAAGAGGGATGCGCTGAAATCACGTTGATCTTTCTTGGCGATTTGTTGTTCGGGATGGAATTCAATTTCTCTCGATGTTGTTTCACTATCTTTTTGGTGGACGAATGTCCAGCTAAACCAGCAAAACATTGGCGTGAGTCTATGCATCTTTAGAAAAGACATCAATCTGTCTCTTCAGTACACAACACTCGATGTAGACCGTTATAGCCCACGACAGCCCATGGCCATCTCTCTTCCAGCTCGCTGAAGTTCCAGCCACCGTTGGCGCAGTCTTTCTGCCATGATGAGCTCATGGAGTGCTGGGTGATGGGAGCGGACTGAGCATATCCGACCTCTGAAGGTTGTGGTTTCATCCTTTGCTGCGACTCTTGTGGCAGACGCGGAAAGAGTGCCTTAGAGATTTCAAGGTCAGCGAGAACTGGTTCGATGTGCCGCACAGCACTGGGTCACGGCAGGGAAACTAGAAGACTTGCTGCAGCTACCTTTGACGGCTTCGTCGGGGCGGTTTTGTGAGTCGTCTGCCATGACGTCCGTGCTCGCCAAGGCCTACGCATGAACACTGTGATGCGGTGCAATACCATGTGATAGGCTTGATGACCTAAAGAGTAACCTGGTAGTTTGTTGGGCCGGAGCAGACGGAAAGCTGGCAGTGACAGGTCCTGGGAATGGCATTCCTGGCGACGCAGGCGGTTAGAGTTTTTGGCAAAGGGGCACGCAACAAACAGCTTTGCTGACGGTGGCATTGACACGAAGTCCCAATCGAGGCGCCCAACCGAAGTGCTCCCCGTCATGCACTCGCGGAGCCCCACGGTGAGAAGCAAGGGGCTTGTCTTGCAATGTTGTGCTGAAGCTAGGCTGAAACCATTTGAATCCTCCAGAAGGCTTGAGTGCAAACTCTGCAGACGGACGTAGGTTGCCATTCATGCTGCTCTGGATTTGGTCACGCTTGCTCTTAGGGCGACGTCGGGCTTTGCTTTTGGGGACGCCTTCAACGGCGCCTGCGGTGGACTTGCCGCAGCAGGCAGCGCTGCGCTGGCGCTGCGCAGGGCCCAGCGGCGGCCGCGGCCACCAGGCCGGGAAGACCGCTTCGGAGCAGTCGGACGCGTTTTCTTGTCATTGTTATTCTCATAGTTATTGTGATGATTGCTGATATTATCTATTACTAGTATTGCTATGATTTTTGAGGAGCTGGGTCAACCAGGATTTTCTTCTCCAGCTAGGATGTTCTCAGATCACATCTTTTCTCTGAGTTATTATTGTAGACCACACGAATGTTGTAAGGTCTGGCCTGCCTGCTACTACTTCGATGTTGCACGCTCATAAAAGCTTCACGCAACAAACCTTCTTCATAGCAAATGCAAACGCTGTATGGGGCCACAGAGGGTTGGACCTCAGATGAGGAAGATCAATTGGTTCACAAGATAGACAGCTGGAGTCATTGTAATGCGTACACAGACAAGTTTTGCAGGAAGCTGAGCTAGATGGGCAACAGGACGCCTGCATAATCCTGAGGATTTTCATCTTTCCCCATTACAGTATTTCTAATTACTAAAGGGGAATCATTGCGACTCAACGACTGGCCGCCAGTTACTAGCGGATGGCGAAAGTGGTTGCGAAGCACGAGAACAGCAGAAGCCGCCCCGGCCAGCACAGGCCCCACAGGGATAGACCTTCAGAAGGCAAGGGCTTTTGAGATGGTATCCGAGTACTTCGTCCAGAGTTTCGGCTATGTCCTTAGGCTTCGGGCTTTGGGTGTCCTCTTAAACCAGGTGTTCTTCGCAGGGTTTTAACGGGCGTTGTGCATTTTTGGGGTGAGCATTCCATTACGACTTATTTCTGGTATGTCAGAGCATGCATGAAAGCTGATCAGCGGACAGCGACTGGTGTTCTTTTTCACACCCAGCACCAGAGCATTGATATTTTCCAATGAGAACCCAATATGGTAGTTTCCCTAAATAAGGGGACCCCAATATAGACCCCAATATACTATAGTCCTTATTATAGGGACCCCCAAAAAGGTACCCCTAATTTTGGGAAACTCCCAATATAGACTTTCGGAAGCCCTCACTGTGGCCAACAGGTTTCTTTTCATTTCAAAGTGCTCCCAACTCTGATAGGAGTCTACATGGCTGGGCCCCGCAGAGAGAACATCATGTGTAGAATCCTAATGGCCATCTCCAGAATTTGGATCAAAACCTCATGTTGACAGCCCAGTCTAACTATATGGCTGGCAACTATAGGAGCTATAGTCTAAACACCATAGAGGAGGATTATATAGGAGAACAAGGAGACTCCTACAGGGGTTACGAAGGGGGATGCTAGGAGTTCAGACTATGGCTCATAGCATGTTGACATGCATCAGCTAAAGTTACAGGCAGTTGTCTGTGGGCTGTATGGGTTCGGTACAGGACGCGTTTGGCCAGCAAAACTGGTTAGTCCGATGTTGTCGACCAGATCTAGGCTTAGCACAACACTGCCAGGAAATCTCTAAGGAGAAAGATAGTTGACCATTCCATGGTTCTCTTATTTCTGCGAGGTACCAGTACCAACGCTCCCGCGACTCCGTTGGTCCTAGTGGTGAACTTGGACCGGAGTCCAGAACGATGGGAGTCCGCGCAGGAGCGCATGCTGGCATGTCGATGTCTTTCCATTTGAAGGATTTGTAGCAACCTGGGGCATGTAACATCTTCAGTTCATGGACCTCTTGCGCAGCAACTTCAGCGAATCCCACTATATACGCGTACGTAGAGGGTCTGGCAACTAGTTTTCCATCAAACCTCTGCGAAGCGAGGGGACCTCGGACTTGCCGACCATTTTTTTGGTTTTTGCATTTTTGAATCGTCCGAGAAGGGCTGTAAAGTACCAGGGCTTCAGGCAAGATTTTCGGTCCTCTTCCTTTGCCCACTCGCACCAAAAATCAGATCCATGGAGAGCCCACAATTCTTGGAATGCTCTTCTCTTCTCGGTAGAAACCATAAAGAAACGTCGTAATTAATCCTCCTGCCAGGAAGAGTTCTCACGCGAGGGCTTGAAGGCCTGAGACTTAAATGGGCTGGTTTTGGAACAGTTTTTTCTCCAGAAGGATGCGGTCCGTTTCAATTAGATAATTCTCCCAATGCCCCAGAGCCCTAGATGTGGGAATTCTGACTTTGAGGAGCCTGGACAGGGACAGGCAACTTCTATTTGTTGAAGAGAGTTTGGTATGGGGGGGTGTCAAGTGGAGGGCACGTAGAGACATGGCCACAAGAGAGTAGCGATGAAAATGATGACAATGCGCACATAGATCCTGCTTCTCGAAAAGGGTGAAGACTGTTCCACCTTTCCATTATCCCTATAAAGCCCATGTATAGCCCTATGGTATATAACCCTAAAAGTTACCAGGAGCGCAAAAGCCTGTCAGATATTGACTAGATTGGTAAGGGAATTCTTGCTCTTGCAGGGTTCTACAGAGTCGCTGATGCAAGCAAGTCTTGACGAGGGTCATAGCAAAGAAACGCCGGACTTTCGAGGAACGTCATTCTCACTCCACTTTGGGAAGCCTATTCTCCACAACAACTTGCCTGAGCGATGTGCCAAGCACGCTTGCTGAAATGCTCGCCCCAAACCAAGTCCTCAAACCCCCGTAACGCCACAAGGAAAATACTTCTTAGGTGGAGCGCTTCTCAGGGACCGATGGGAAGGCTATGACTCACGAGCAGTTGCGGGAGATAGCCACGTGCCTCTCGCTCAGTGATTGGGAGACTTGGGTAGCCCCAACTCTCAAAATTAGGACCCTCTGACTATGTCACTTGACTCCTGAGGGGTCCTGATTGTAGGGAATGGGTTTGCTTGAAAATTTTAGAGTGCTCTAGACGTTCGAGGAGATTCTTTCCGGGCTAACAGGGGATGTAACAGGGTTCAGGGCCCTCCACAAATTGAGCCGGTCTTTCAGGGTCCCTCTGCAGGGAATTACGATTTTTCTGTAATTGCACCCTAAACCCTAAACCTCAAGCCTTCCCTCATTGTTTTCAGTGCTCCGGTACCCGTGTACCTTGGGGGAATGTTCTCATGTGGGGTTGTGAGCACGGATGCAGGGCTTTGGCCCACAGACAGGCGGTATGATCCTGGCTGTGTATGGATGGGATTAGATGATTAGACTGTGTATGGAGTGAAGATGACATGGCGTGGCGCGATGTGACTGGCCATGTTAACGTGCACGAATTTGGCGCGAGCAGAAATTTAAAGACATTTCAAGACTGCTATGCGGTCTTGGCAAAATCTGGAATCGTGACATTCGCCAGCCCCTTTCTACAACCGTCAAGGTGGAAAGATCCGCATGCAAACCAGAAAAAGACTCCTCTCCGTTTCAGGCTGCTCTGTCACATATTCTGTCAATGTCTAGTTCCCTAGCTTTGCTGAAGCACGAAGGCGTGCTGTTGCCAGCAGGCTTCTTGATTATGTTCATGTGCTGAGGGTCGGCTCGCTGGCCGGGCCCTGAACTGCAAGACAGGGTGTTTGGTGGGTCGGTGTTTAGGGTTGAGGTTCGGGTCCCCGCTCTGGGAGCTTGCGCTTGCAGCACGGAATTACGGACTCCACTCCAAGCCGACGTGTGTTGTGTTGACACGGAGGTCTTGCAGCCAGATGTGCATTTCTGCGAGTACTGCTGCATTCTGCCGTTCCTAGGTATTATTGAACATGAGCAGGAAGAAGCATACCAAAACCTGACATCTTGCCATACCCGTAACCAAAAGCCCAGCTGAAGCTCACGGACCAGCTGTTCTTTCCTGTCGCGCAGCGCCTACCCTTGTTTTCTTTAAGCAATGCTCTTGCCCTGGTGTGTGCAATCAGATGAATCGGGAGGTCAGCAAGCTTTCCCGCAGCCGTTTTGGCGAGCAGCCATCGCACTGCTGAAATGCAAGCTCGAGACAACTTCAATCCTAGCAGACACTCGCGAGTCAACTAACCATACTAGGACCGCACTGTATCTACACATAAGTGTGGGCTAGTAAGTCATAGTGAGACCACCTCATTATTCCCACCATCTGTCCGCAGTCTGCGGCAACCGCCCGCGACGGCGCTTCGCTGGCTGCGCCTTCCACGAAGCTGGGTGCTTCCGTGTCCAGCAGCTCGAGGCTCAAAGTTTCAAATGAAGAGACCTTGTACGAGGGTGCCATGTGGCTAGGGGCAGGAGATTGTACAACAGGACTTAAAGAGTCTGAATGATGGGTGAAGACTGGCCAGAAAGTATTGTAGTCAATGGACAAGGAAGATTCCTAAAGCAGGTGAGTTTTTTCAGTAATTTTTTGTCCTGGTGTCTTTGTTTCGGCGTTGCTTCGGCTTCTTCTCCATAACGGCAAGGCAAAACCAGCCTATCTAATTAAGCCAAAGGTCTGCGGTAGCACGCCTCCTGTCGCAGGCTGCAGGGGCATGGCGAGTGAGGCAGCTGGCTACCCTGACGGGGCTGAAGCCAAGGCCAAAGTGAAGAAGCCGAGGCCTCCGCCACCTCCACCGCCTCCAGCCCTGGCTACGGCCTCACTTCTTGTCCGTGGCGCGGCCGCACGGGTTTTTGGCCTCCAGCCTGGGCCTTGCGGAGGCGAGCTGCAAACCATTTGGCAGAACGAGCCAGGATGTACCAAGTTGACGATGAGCTTGGAGGGCACCAAGCGGGCGCCTTTCCCAAAGGACGAGCTTCATGGAGCTTTGCTCACTGCCCTAGAGGCCGAGGCAAACCGCCTTGCGACAGAGGGCGGGGCCATTGCAGTGTTCGAGATGAATCGGGAAGAGGCAGAAGCCAAGTATGGAAACTCCATCTACGAGCCTGCTCCGAAACCTGAAAAGAAGTCTGAGGAGGAACCCGAGAAACCGAAACCTCCAACGGTGCGACTGGCCCACTTGCCGGGCGCAGCTCTTGTGGAAATCAAGAGCGACTGGACGCTTTGCTCAGCCACGGCTGATTGCGGGAAAATTGAGTTCTTGCAGAAGGAGGTAGAGGCAGGCTCCAAGAAGAAGCGTGAAACAATGATTATGGCGTGTCTCCCAGCTATTTGCATTTGTGGTACGCTGCGTCTGCTGCCCTTGGCTGTGGGCCTCGCACTGTAAGGTCAAACAGAAGAAGATAATGGTGAAGCTTCAAGTGCAAAACCCCGATGCTCAGCCGGCTGAGATGAAGGGTGGCGCGCCCAGCGAAGAGCCTGGGATAGCACTGAAAGTGGCTGATAGTGGGCCCGTCACACCTACAACGCATGTACAGTACCAGCCAGTCTTGCGTCTTGTCTCGATCAGGAAGTGGCCAAGGCTCTTGCAGACAACTCCGTCCGTTCCTTTCCAGCATGGACTCCGGACGAATTGAGAGCTCGCGATGTTGTGAGCGGTTGTGAACACATGCCTCAAGATTGTCAGCCATAATGTGAGGTGTGGTTGTTAAGGGCGTGGATGATGTGGATCCCGCTGCCGAGGCGGAATGTCGCTGCTCTTGTAGTGTAGCAGCGTAGCAGCCCTAGTAGCATGTTGAAGTTTCCGCAGTTTGCAGTCCGCAGGCAGCCAAAGCTACCGCTGCGGCCGCAGCTCCTGCCGCAGCGGCGACAGAAGAGGAGGCAGATTTGGCAGAGATTTGATGAAAGCAAAATGTGTGCCATGCAAATAAAAGGCAACTTGCAACTTGCAGAGTGCTCAGCATCAGCTTCATTCAATGAGTTCAGTGGATGAGAACTCCGCTTGTCTTTCTCTTACAGTTCAGTCATTCAGGGTCTTGTTCTTTACTATGGGGTCGCCCCCGGTTCCGCTGGACAGCGGGCTCGAGGTCTTACTGGTAGCTTCTGATGCCGGCTAGTTTCGGAAGCTTTCCGATGTCGTCGGCTTCCTACGTACCTGTAAGCTGAAAAATCATGTTTCCACTCTTTTGGTCTCTCCATGGGCCATGCTTGGAAAACAGTTGTAGGGTTGCAGCAAGTGGCAGAGTTGGTGGCGGAAAGCCGCTTTGCTCAGGCATCTGCTTCCGCGGATGCCGGCATGTCAACAGTGTCGGAATGGGGTGATTCAAGAAGCCAAGAAGGTTTGGTGAGGAATACTTGATGTACTCGCTAGGGCGGGATCGGTTATCGCATCATCGGAAGATTTTGAATCTCCGGCTTGCTCCTTGCTTGGTTGAGGATGGCGAAGCAGTGGTGACTCCTTGGGACGTGGAGGGACGCCTTGCTGAAGTTTGACGGGCTTTCTCGGAATCATGGCAGGGAAGATCCTTGTCATGAAGACTGGCGAGTCTTCTAGGGTATAAAGGGGGTGCCGATTCTAGATGGCTACCCGTGTCAATGTCGGCATTGCAATCCCTAAGCCAAGCCCGAAACTCACAAGCTGAAAGTCGCTCTAAGCCCTTTTGGCAGGCAAGATAGACTACGACAAGCTGATTCGCGACTTCGGTTCCACAAAGATCTCCCCTGAGCTGCTAGAGACTTGGATGGCTCGGGTGGCAGCCCGGAACAGGCTACGGTATATGTCATTATGTTGCTGGACAGTCCCATGATCTCAGATCCCTTTCGTGTATGCAGCCACAGTGTCATTGCAACACCAGAGCTCCTGACATCCCTTGAATTGTCACAGACGTGTTGGTATAGCCATCTTCCGAGCCGAGGAGAGAATCCGGAAGCTTACGGTGGGAAAAGGACTGCGAATGCTCTTGCTTCAGCTCAGTGTTTCAGCCCTGCCAAGCCACTTCTGCGAGTTGACTGTCGCTACAGGGGTCCGCAACAGTGTCAATCAGAAGAATTCGACTATTTCCCCGGACGCCAGGACGAGTTGACGACTTGCACTGCTGGCTGCTGCCTGATTGCAGAATGGTTGATATGTTACGGCTATGGCCCCAAGCTTGGGTGGATGGCATTGCTTGGGGAATTCCCTTCATGGGACAGGATTCTAGGTGGGGTATCTGCTTGCTTCCCTCAACGCAGTCAGTGCAGAGAGCATGAGAAGATCCTCTCACTGTAACAGAAACCGCTCAGCTTCTTGATGCGCGGTAAGATGGGCGGATGAGGCGCAGGAACATCTTCTTTTCCCATAGAGAGCTGGATGCCATCTGTGCTCTGCAGGTGTCTCGGGCAGAAGTTGTCCTGTTGTTCTATGCAATACTGCCCATCGCGTTTGCGTTTGGTTATGTCCGGAATCTATCATGGTTCTACCTTCCGCAAGCATGGCATGACAAAACTTGTATTGAGTGTAGTTCAACCTAACCAGCAAAGGAGAAGGGAATGCCCTTCTACCTGTACACTGGCAGAGGCCCAAGCTCAGCTGTGTCTCGGCACGGATGGCTGCCTCGACCCTTGCAAAGCATGAGCCCACGTCAGAGACGGTCTCCTTAATACGTGACCCAAGAGACCCAAGTGCCTAGTTGGCCCAGTGGCCCAGTGAGGCGAGAACTTATTATTCTGCAGCAGCCAGTACTTAGCCTCTTTCATTCCAGCAAAGCGGCGGGTGAGCGCGGATTTGGCTCAGGCGATGCATCTCGGTCACCTGTTGCCGTTCCTTTTCACCCAGCGCCTTGACTGGTAGCGGATGCTTGGGGTATCTTGGGGTCGTGCAGCAGCACTAGCGGTGACCAAAACTGGAATTATCCTGTCAGTGGCGCTTCATACAGTGTCCGATAAGGTGGCTTCAGAAGGCCTTCAACGTGCCGCTGGTCATCCAGATGACTGATGACGAGAAGTTCTTGTGGAAGGCACCAGCACATGTAAGCCACATCCAATCCAGACGTGTTGAACTGCATGGTCATTTGGACAAACCCCGAGGGCGCCTACGACCCAGACAAGGAAGAGGACGGTTACGACCTGTGACTCGGAGTCAGGTGGTCCATGCAGCATCAAGGCGTTTACAGACGAGCGGCATCGAAGGAGTTGCCTGCCTTGCCGAGGGACATGTACCGGCGCTTTACAATCGACAACGCCAAAGACATCATCGCATGCGGTTTTGACAAGAGCAAGACCTTCATTTTTTCCGACTGCGACTATGTGCCCTGTCTGTCTGCTTGCTGTGTGACCGCAGGGCTAGGTCCCCCCCGCTTTGTGTGTTTGCAAGGTGGGCCACATGTACACGAACATTCTGAAAACTCAGCAGCTAGGTCCAACTTTTGGACTTCTTCTCCATGCTGATGCTTTCTAATACGTGTTTAAGGAACCTATCCACACAGTTTTTCCAAAGGTATGCTATGCGCAACCTAGGAAGTCGATTACCTACAACACTGCCAAGTCTGCTGCTTGTCATGCAAGACTGCCTTAGGATTGTTCAAGCGTGAACCGTGGATTGGGTTCCATGAATCTGGAATTTGCTGTTCTGAGCGCTGTACGAATCGAACTTTCGGACATGCCAAATCGGATGTCACCGGATGCCCGACGGGACGCTGCCTTTGCACTGATTCGCGTTTCACTTTCCTGGCAATTGTATGACGATTGATTTGTTAGTTTCACTAAATAGGGGGACCCCAATATAGACCCCTAAATATTATAATCCTTATTTTAGAGACCTCCAATAAGGGACCCTCATTTCCATTTTGTGTAGAAGCTTGCATGGGCTTGGTGTAGAGCCGCCATGATGACAGGCTTTTGGCTTCCAGGGAGACTCCAACATCGGACAATCTGCCTTTCCAGCGGTCCAGGCACGTTGCAGTATTCACGACGGCACAAATTATTTCACACTTTGAAAGCCACACCTCAGGCTGTGCCGTCCTTCTCCTCATCCTTCAAGATCCCTTTTGGGGACAACTCTCGTTTGCCCTGCCTGCTGGAAACTGAGTTACTAGTGTGCATCGTGCCGGCAAATGCCAGTTCCTTGTGTCTCTTCAAGGATTCCTTGCGCGATCGACCAAGACCCATACTTCCGTGCACGCGGCTGAGTAAAGTGGGAATTTGAAGATTTCGACGCATTGTGTATATAGTCCCTCTTAAGTAGATAGACTATGGTTTTGGGTATATTATAATAGGATCCCCATAAAACTCATATGCTATCTACTTAAGGGGGACTATAGCCTTTCACGCCCCTGTGGGGGTTTCCCGAAATTAAGGGTACCTTTTTGGCGGTCCAAGGCTCCAAGGATGATAGAATTATAGTCTATTGGGGACTATATTAGGGTCCCCGCATATAGGGAAACTACCATATAATCCTTATATAATAATTTAGAGTAGCTTCCATTTCATTTTCCTTTTGATTCTCCATTGTTCCTATATAAGCCCCATATCCTTCTTCACTACTATAACCCCAAGATATACCCTATCATACTATAGTAGATTCCATTTTCTTTTCCATTGTCCCTATATCAAAGTCTTGGAATGGGAGTCAGCCCTACATAATGCTCAAATAAATGGTTTCCATTTTCTTTTCCATTATCCCTATATAACCCCATGATGAGTCACCGAGCGCGAGGCTTGGAGTGAGTGTAATCCTCTCCCCCTAATTTTACACTCCCCCCATCCCCCCCTAATATCAAATACTCCAAATATTTTACAACATACCACAATGGGGAGTATTTGATGTTAGAGGAATGGCGGGTTTTATCTTAGGCAAGGAAGATTAGCCTTCGCCATCATGCAATCTACCTGCGCGGGCCGTGCCCAGGTCACAAGGGACATCGCGCACAAGCTTGTTCCGACTCCCTTCTCTTTTTGGTGCTCAGTAAATGAGGGAATGTGGGAATACTATTAGAAATATACAGGGATTGTTCTGCTAAGAGCCAGCAAGTTTTGCAGTGTGACATACTGTTTGGTAGAAGAAGTAGACTGGGACTTAGCAAGCTTTTTCCTGCAATGCTCAGGAAGGACCATCCTCTCAAGGGCAAGCCTTCCCTCATCCACTGCAAGTTCTTCCCACCTCTGACGGGCGCACAGGGCAAGATGGCAGCCTCCAAAACGAACACGGCTTCTTGGATGAAGCAGTCCCCCGCGGATCGAAGTGGAATTTCATTGGCTTGGAGAATCCAAGGCGATTTTCCTGACAGACTCACCTGAAGATATTGAGAAGAAGATCACAGAGCATGCCTTCTCAGGCACCTTTTGGGACATCTTTACAATTCCCGAGCTGAAGTTCCTGTCACGTTGATAGCACAGGGGGCTCTGGCATGTACTGTAAGAGACTTTCATGTTTACAGCGGCACACTATCCACAGAAGCGACTCCTGCTGGCAAAGAGGCGGCAGAGAAAAGGCCAAGGAGCAGCGAGAGAAGGGTGCGAACCTGGTGCCTGGGACACGTGTGTAGTGGTCCTGCCATGAAACAGGCAGCTGTTGAGAAGGGTCAGATACAGCACCTCATTGAGATTACATTTGAACATGCCCTCATCCCAGGAAGTGGACGTGTCCTACCAGCAACTTAGCCCAAATTTGGAGATTTTTTCATTGGAACTCCGCCGAACTCAACTTTTTGTAGGCTGAAACCTGCATCGGTGGCAAGTTGCGCTTTCTGAATCATCTCATGCAGGGCTGAACGCTAACAGCTTGATTGCGGTAAGATGGCTTCGATTCTTCTTGGAAGACGACGACGAGCTCAAGAAGATAGAGGACTTGGTAACTGGTATGATGCTGTTGTTTCAAGACCTCGCTTCAATCTAAAAGACAAGGAGCTGACACCCGGTCCTTCCAGTAAAGTCGGGGCATTCTTGGGGTGTGGATCTGCACGCAGAATTGCTCGCGCACCATTGGAGGACACAAGCATGATAGTCTCTGAAGCCAGGAGCAGTATGGATCAGGAAAGGGAGAGGAGTACTGGAGCACTGGGCTGGCCGCTTGCTCGGGCACTTCTGTAAAGCGTTCGTGCGCCGTCCAAGAAATGATGCTCCGATTGCGTGACGGAAGGAGACCCAACGTGGGCTGCATGCTGCAAGATGTTGTGCCGTGCCAATTGGCCTGTTCAGGTGAAGAAGAAGCTTATTGAGGTGCTCAAGAAATTGGTGAAGGAACACCAGGACACTGCTCTGACTCGTGCTGACGGGTGATAGTTCACTGGGGACCCGGCGCAGAACGTGCAAATAGCGCGTTGGTTGAGTGCATTCCCCACCTTCCATGGTTGTACCTTTCACCGATAAGGTTTTGATCAGCGGGAGTCATGTCATTTAAGATGCTATGATTGACGTGCACTTCCCCCTCAGACCCTCTAGCACAGGAAAGTTTTTTTTTGCATCTTTGACGGCTCCTTCTGGCTTCTATGCTTGGCCACACTTGACTGCTGGCTACATTGCTGCTGCTGCTGCTGCCGCTGCTGCTGCTGCTGCTGCTGCTGCTGCCGCTGCCGCTCCTGCTAGTACTGCCACTTCTAGTAGCACGCTACTGACAACTGCGGCAACCGTGCCCACTAATCAACCACAATTGCCACCACTTACACTGCACGCTGCATCCACCGCATCATCACGACCGCGACTACGATCATCGCTGCCTCGATGATGCCTTTTTGTACAACAGCATCCACTGCTGCTGCCGCCGCCACTGCTGCTGCTGCTGCTGCTGCTGCTACTGCTACTGCTACTGCTCGTCCTCCTCCTCCTCCTCCTACTACTACTACTACTACGACGACTACTACTACTACTACTACTATTACTACTACTACTACGACGACGACGACGACGACGACGACTACTACTACTACTACCACGACCACTACCACCACGACCGCCGCCGCCACCACCACCGCCGCCACCACCACCACCGCCACCGCCGCTACGACTACTACTACTACTACTACTACTACCACGACCACTACCACCACGACCGCCGCCACCACCACCACCATCGCCGCCACCACCACCACCGCCACCGCCGCTACGGCTACGACGACGACGACGACGACGACTACTACTACTACTACTACCACTACTACTACTACTACTACTAACACTAACACTAACACTTACACTCACAGTAATACTAATACTAATACTAATACTAATACTAATACTAATACTAATACTAATGATGATCACAACACTAATCAGATTAGCAAGAGACGTGGACACA